ATGGGGTCCAACTAGCGTGTTTTCTCTTAGTGGTTCGGCGTACTATATCACCTTCATCGACGATCACTCGAAGAAGGTGTGGGTATACTTCATGAAGCACAAGTCAGAGGTGTTCAGAATCTTTAAGAAGTGGAAGGTCATAGTGGAGAACGAGACAGATCTGAAGGTAAAGTATCTGATATCAGATAACGGTGGAGAATATGAGCTGGAGGAGTTCAAGAGGTTCTGTGCTCTAAATATGATTCGTTTGGAGAGGACTATTCTAGGGACGCCATAGCAAAACGGCGTTGCATAGAGGATGAATAGGACATTGATGGAGCATGCTAGGAGCATGCGATTACATGCAGGTCTGCCTAAGATATTTTGGGCGTATGCGGTGTATACGACAGCTTACTTGATTAATCATGAGCCATCAGTTCCATTAGATTACGGGATTCTAGAGGAGGTTTGGAGTAGCAAAGAAGATCAATCTCTCACATTTGCGAGTATTCGGTTGTGTGACATATGTTCATATCAGTGACCATGTCAGGGACAAGCTAGAGGCTAAGTCACAAAAGTACATATTCATTAGATACGGCATTGATGAGTTCGGGTATCGTCTTTGGGTTGGGAAGAATAGGAAGATTATCAGAAGCAGGGATGTGATATTCAATAAGGAGGTGATGTACAAGAACAGGGACAGTGCCAATGATAGCTAAAGCAGTGGGAGCAGCACTACGAATATAGGTGGATCCGAGTACATGGATTTTGAGGAACTTTCAGATGGGGGCAATAAAGTCAATTCTGACCGGAGAACGGAGGCTCCAGGTGCAAAGACGACTACCCAGGGCGTGGAGCTTAGGAGGTCATCCAGGGTACCCAAACCGAATCCCAGATATCTCTCATCAGTTTATTATTTGCTTTTAACAGATAGTGGAGAACCGGAGTGCTACGAGGAGGCTATGCAAGTGAGTAAATCTCAGCAGTGGGAGCATGCAATACAAGAAGAGATGGATTCTCTACACACTAATGAGACATGGGAGTTAGTCCAGCTACCTGCACAGAAAAAAGCTTTGCATAACAAATGGGTCTATCGGGTCAAGCAGGAGAGTGATGGAAGCAAGAGATACAATGTTAGATTAGTTATAAAGGGGTTCCAATAGTAGGAAGGAGTGGACTATACGAAGATATTTTTTTCCGTTGTAAAGCTCACAACCATTAGAGTGGTGTTGACCTTAGTAGCTACAGAAGATCTCTACCTTGAGCAGTTAGATGTGAAGACTGCTTTTTTCATGGTGACTTAGATGAAGAAATCTACATTAAGCAACCTGTTAGCGTCATTAAAGGAGGAAAGGAAGAGATGATGTGAAAGCTCAAGAAGGGCTTGTACGGATTGAAACAGGCTCCGAGACAGTGGTATAAGAATTTTGACAACTTCATGCAGAGCAATGGCTATAGGAGATGCAATTCAGATCACTATTGCTACTTCAAGAGGTTCGAGTCTAGCTTTATCGTATTATTATTGTATAGTGATGATATGTTAGTTGCAGGACCGCGTTTAGAAGAGATAAACAGATTGAAGAAGCAGTTGGCAAACGAATTTTCTATGAATGATCTAGGTGCAGCGAAGCAGATTATTGGGATGCAAATTAGTAGAGATGAAGCTGAAGGGACTTTGAGGTTGAGTCAAGCTGAATACATCGAGAAGGTGCTTCAGAAATTCAGCATGCAGAATGCAAAGCCCGTTGGTACGCCCCTTGGAAGTCAGTTCAAGTTATCTGAGGAGCAATCATCCAAGACAGATGCAGAGAGGGAGCACATGAGCAGAGTGCTATATTTGTCGACCATTGGGAGTCTCATGTACGTGATAGTTTGCACGAGGCCGGATATCGTCCATGCAGTGGGAGTTGTGAGCAGGTTTGCAAGCAATCCAGAAAGTAGCATTAGGAGGCCGTGAAGTGGATATTGCGCTACTTGATAGGGACTACGGACAAGCCACTATGTTTCAGAAGGAAGGAGTTAGTACTGCAAGGATACATGGATGTGGACTTCGCCGGTGATCATGATACGAGGCGGAGCACCACGGGATATGTTTATACCTTGGCGTCGACAGTAGTGAGTTTGGTTTCACGTCTGCAGGAGATTGTAACTTTGTCTATAACTGAAGCTGAGTATGTCGTGGTGACTGAAGCAAGAAAGGAGATGACTTGGTTGAATGAGTACCTGGAAGAGTTGGATCTGAAGCAAGGGAGAGGAGTTCTTTATTGTGATAGCAAGAGCGCTATACATCTTGCCAAGAATCTAGTATAACATGCCAGAATGAAGCACATCGACTTACGATACCATTTTATATGCTTGCTGATTGAGGACGGGAAGTTACATCTAGAGAAGATTTTGGGGGGTCAAAATCCCACGGATATATTGACGAAAGCAGTGATCATTGACAAACTAAACTTGTGAGCAACTTTAGTTGGCCTTCACGTGTAGGAGATGAAGGCGGAGCCACACCAGGAGGATCGTCGGGATCGCCGGGTTGATGATGATTGAAGAATAGATTTTTTCCGTGTAGGAGGATGCTTGTGAAGAAGGGAGAGTTCGGTTAACTCGTTGATTGTACTTTGGTCTCCAAGTGGGAGATTGTTATTCTAAGGGATATAGACTCAAAGCTGGAATTAAACAAATTGTTGGATAGCAGGTTATTAGGATTCCTAATATGTTTTGGTTTTTGGTTTAGAATTCCTAGTCTGTTTTGGTTTTAGGTTTTTAATATATATGGAACGCCTTAGAAGATATTAGACATCAGAAAAAAGGGTTTGAGAGAATTCTTCAGAGAGATGTCAGAGAGATTAGATCCTATTTGTGGGCATTGTAATCTTCTTCAATATTAATCAAAGAATTGTGTGGTGCCTCGGGATTCTTAGGGAGCGTAGACTCAGGAAATACATCTCCAGACAACTGGTCATCAATTTGAGGAGAACCATACATGAAGTGGAGCATAGGAGTGTCTACGAGAAAGCCTTCCCCGTCAAAATCATCAATCGAGAAATCTGACACAAGAGAATATAAGTACGAAAGGAGAATAAAGAGATTATTTGTGGGCATTGTAATCTTCTTCAATATTAATCAAAGAATTGTGTGGTGTGGCTCCCGAGGACGTAGACACGATTATTGAACCTCGTTAAATCTGGTGTGTTCTTTCTTGTTTACTTTCCTCCAAGTTATTTATCTTTTATTTGCTGTGATTTTTCCTACTTTCCTACTCTCAAACACAAGGTTCAGAAGGATAAGGGTTCGATTTGATTGTTTCGAATCCCCAACAATAACACTATAAATACATAATCACATTTTAGTAACTTCAACCCATATATATAGGTCATAAGAAATTCTTGGATTAGACTAACGAGTGCACAAATACACAACAGAAATAGTAAAAACAAAATAAAAAATAGAGAATATCAAGGTTTACTTGGTCTATGAACAACGCCCACAGGCGAGGAGGAGAGGAGATAATTCACTATCACAAAATCAAAGTACAAAAATAAGAATAAGTCTTACAATAATCATGATGCTTAATCCTCTAAATTATCCCCTCACCTAATATACCAAAAGGAGAAATTTATTTTTTAATCTTCATCTAGTAAAACTTGAATATATGTCGAATGGGTATCACAAGCTATTTTATGTATAATTCCAGGTAATTGAACATGCAACAAATCAATTACATCTTAGTTGAGCATCATTTGGTTTTATGGACCTATGTGGAAATAAAGTGATACAGGAGATCAAGTAATTGGACAAGTAATTGGACAAGTAATTAGACGAGACGACATCTCAACTCGTCCAATATCCGACGTCTCAATAATATCCGACATCTCAACTTGTCCGACATCTCAACTCAATACAAACCAAGTCATCTCAGCAGACAAGACGACATCAGAGCAGATGAAATGATATTTCAGCGGACGAGATGAGATCTCAGCAGATGAGACGAGGCAAAGAAGGTAGAATGAGATGACACATGCCAGTCGACATGAAAGGTGGTACTAGTCAACACGCTTCGTGTCGACTGGAACAGCAGTTGGGAATACATGCCCAGTCGACACAAAAGGCGGTACTGGTTGACTCGCGTCGTGTCGACTCGGACATCAGATTAGGAAAGAATTCGTTTTTGATTATTTCCTTTTAGAAATAGAGTTTCTTTTTTATTAGAGTTAGGATAAGTTTAGTTGACTATATATAATAGTTCCTTTTGTAAATCAATAATTAACTTTTCAATTATTCAATCAAGAGAATCTCTCTCCATTGTTTTCTTTCTCAAGTTTGAGAAACTTCTAGCTTGTGGGTTCAAGCTCATGAATTACCTATTAATATCAAGGCTTGTCGGTATCGGAACGATATCCGATCAGCCTCCCTATTTCTACATCTGTGTCAAGTGGTATCAGAGCTTCGGCTTCAACATCCTCGACAATGGCAGGTGACGGCGAGAAGGAACTTTCTCTATAGGATCTTTTCGCGATGATGGATTCTATGGATGGGAGATTTGGCATATTGGAGGCGTCTCTTCAGAACCTTCAACAAGCCATTGAAGGACTTACCCTTCACCTCAACAACGCGGAATTAATTTCGCCGGCCGACTTCACCTACAGCGGACCCGCAGCTTAGGCAGCCACGACATCCCCCCCCCCCCCCCCGCTACCAATCCCTAACCCCCTCCAGTTCACCCCCCTCCATATCAACCATGTCCAAACCAACCCCCTCCATATCAACCCCCTCCGCATTAACCTCCTCCATATCAACCCCCTCCACATCATAGACGACATCCCAACCAACCCCTCTCCCATGATGAATTCAGTGACGAAAGAGCAGACTATGGTGCCCAATTTGAGGGACCATGGTACGACAACGTCTCGAGCGAAGAAGAAGAAGGAGGGCGACCTTATGACAGAGGTCAGGGCAGAGGCTTCAACCCTCGTCACAACTACTACTGACAAGGCCGATATCATCAGGACCAAGACTATCGGATGAAGGTAGAGCTTCCTTCCTTTGGAGGAAATTTTGACATAGAGGCTTTCATGGATTGGCTCTACAAAGTGGGGAAGTTTTTTGAGATGGCTAATATGCCCGAAGCAAACCAGCTGAAGTTTGTAGCATATCGTCTCAAAGGAGAAGCCGCGACATGGTGGGATCAAACTCAAAACACTAGGAGACGACAAGGTAAGCAACCGGTGCGGGTTTGGCGTCGCATGAAGCAGCTACTACGGGCAAGATTTTTACCACCCGACTATCAACAAATCCTCTACAACCAGTTCGAGCAATGCCATCAAGGAGTCGGATCAGTAAGTACATATACCGAAGAGTTATTCCGTCTTACTTCTCGTTGTGATTTGTCTATGAGCGAGGAACAACTCGCAGCCAAATATATTGGTGGTTTGAAGTATTCGATTCAAGAGAAGGTGGCCATTCATAATGTGTACTCTGTAGACGAAGCCCACAATATGGCTCTAAAGGCGAAAAGATTGGCCTCCAAAACACCACCTTTCAGGCGAACTGATCAGGGAAGTTCGGCCGAGAAGGCAAGAGGTGAGTCGGCAGGGCCAAGGACGATTGATCAGTCTAATCCTCCACTATCAACCAAGCGGTCGACAAATCAACCACCGCCCTAGATGCCTTAATCAAATCACTATGCCAAGCCCACCGTAGGGAAGTGTTTCCGATGTCTCCAACCAGGGCATAAGTCCAACGAGTGCCCACAGCGGTGAAAAGTTAATCTTGTAGATTATGAAGAAGCTGAGGATGGGCACACAACATCTGAAGAAGAGTACGAAGAAGAGGGTGTCGAGGTTAAGGGAGACAATGTGTCATGTGTTGTTCAACGACTTTTGTGCGCTCAGAAGACACCAGACTCATCACGACAGCATCAAATTTTCTTTTCTAGGTGTTCAGTCAACAACAAGGTGTGCACCCTCATCGTTGACAAAGGAAGCTATGAGAATATTGTGTCAAAGGCCTTGGTGGATCACTTGAAACTGCTGACAGAGACAAAGCATGTGCCTTATACCATAGGATGGATCAAGAAGGGTCCCTCCATGAAGGTGACCGAGTTGTGTCGCGTGCCATTATCACTGGGAAAGACTTATAATGACTCTATTACTTATGATGTTGTGGATATGAATGCGTATCATGTCTTGTTAGGGCGGTCGTGGCAGTATGATGTTGAAACTAAGCATGGCAGCAAGAAGAACGAGTACTCTTTTGTATGGATGAATAAGAAGATCATCCTACCACCTATTCCATCCTCTCCAAAGAACCCCAAGGATCAAAAGTCAAAACATATATCTCTGTGCAACAAGGGTGAGTTTCTGGCTGAGTCAAAGGAGTTAAAGTAGAGGTTTTCCTTGGGTGTGAAGGAGGAAGTAAAGACACTCATTGAGGTCCTAGGGAAGAGGAAGTCGCTGCTTAAGGAGTTCAAAGTGTTGATTCCTGAAGATCTGCCAGAGGGTCTCCCTCCCATAAGGGATATACAACACCACATCGATTTCATTCCGGGTTTGGTACTTCTTAATCTCTCTCACTATCACATGAACCCACAAGAGAAAAAGATCCTATAGGATACCATTGAGGACCTCATAAAGAAGGGCCACATTCGAGAGAGTATGAGTCCATGCGCAGTTCTAACACTGTTGACACCAAAGAAGGATGGAAGTTGGCAGATGTGTGTGGATAGTAGGGTCATTAACAAGATCACAATTCGCTATAGGTTTCCAATTCCTCGGTTGGATGACATGCTAGACCAGTTGGGAGGTGCGAGCATCTTTTTGAATATCGACTTGAGGAGTGGGTATCATCATATCCGAATCAGGCCAGGCGATGAGTGGAAGACTGCATTCAAAAGCAGTGAGGGCCTCTATGAATGGTTAGTGATGCCTTTTGGTTTGTCGAACACCCCAAGCACATTTATGCGTTTGATGAACTAAATTCTGAAGCCTTTCTTGGGATGGTTTGTAGTGGTCTACTTTGATGATATTCTTATCTACAATCAGGATGAGAAGGAGCATATGTCGCATCTACGAAAGGTTTTCCAAGTGCTAAAGGAGAATGAACTTTACATCAACCTTAAGAAGTGTGTGTTCTTGATGACTCGGCTAGTGTTCTTGGGGTTCGTGGTAAGCTCGCAGGGGATCCAGGTTGATGAAGATAAAGTCAAGGCAATCAAGGATTGGCCGACTCCAAAAAGTACTACTGAAGTAAGAAGCTTTCATAGATTAGCATCTTTTTATCGGTGTTTCATTCGCAATTTTAGTTCTATAGTTGCTCCCATAACGGATTGCTTGAAGAAGAAGGGCATTTTCAAGTGGACTGATGAAGCCAATGCAGCTTTTGCCCTTATCAAGGAGAAGATTACCACTTCACCTATATTGGCGTTTCCAGATTTCGACAAGCTCTTTGAGCTTGAGTGCGACGTGTGTGGTGTAGGTATTGGAGAAGTCCTCTCTCAAGAGAAGCGCCTCATTGCTTTCTTGAGTGAGAAGTTGAATGAAGCTCTATAGAAGTGGAGTACTTATGAGCAGGAGTTGTATGTTTTTTTCGTTCTTTGAAGACTTGGGAGAGTTACCTCATTACTAACGACTTCATGATTTACTCCGATCATCAGTCTCTTCAACACTTCAAGAATCAGAAGCATATCAACAAAATGCATGGACGTTGGGCTTCGTATTTTGAGCAATTTAATTTTACTTTGCGACATAAATCAGGAGTTGACAATCAGGTACCTGATGCTTTGAGTCGGCGGGTATCCTTATTGAGCGTATTGCGAGGTGAAGTTGTTGCTTTTAACAGTTTGAAGGAGCTTTATGTTGATGATGAAGACTTTCAGGAGATTTGGGCCAAGTGTTTGACAAGACATCCCACAGGAGACTATGTTATCATGGACGGCTTTCTATTTAATGGGAATCGACTTTGTATTCCAAGGACATCATTGAGAGAGAAAGTAATTCGAGACTTTCATGTTGGTGGTCTTGGCGGACATTTTGGGCGAGATAAGACTATTTTGAGTCTTGAGGAGAGATATTATTAGCCAAGTTTGAGGAATGATGTGGTAACACTTGTGAGGAGCTGTCAAGTGTGCTAAGTTGCAAAGGGGCAAGTATAGAATACAGGTATGTATACTCCTTTACCTGTGCCTAAGGATATATGGGAGGATTTGAGTATGGACTTTGTGTTGGGACTTCCTAGAACACAAAGAGGCGTGGATTCAGTCTTTGTGGTAGTGGATCGTTTTTCTAAGATGGCTCACTTCATTCCATGTCGTAAGAATTCGGATGCACCACATGATGCATGGCTAAGAAGTGGTTCGACTACATGGTGTTCCTAGTTAGATTGTTTCGGATAGGGATACTAGGTTTTTGATGACTTTTTGGGCTACTTTATGGCGACGATTTGACACTTCATAAAAGTATTCGAGTACAGCCCACCCTCAGATGGATGGACAAATGGAAGTAGTCAATCGAACTTTGGGAAACTTGATTTGATGCATATGTGGAGAAAAGCCAAAAATGTGGGATCAAGCTATACCACAAGCTGAATTCGTCTACAACATAACTATTCATAGTTCCACAGGTATGTCTCCTCTTTCTATTGTTTACAGCAAGACACCTCGACATCTCCAAGACTTGTTGAAGCTACCGACAAGTAGCAAGTTCAGTGAGGCAGCAAGTTCAATGCAGAGAATGCTTTTAACGTTCAGGAGGAAGTGCGTACAAAGCTTGAGAAGGCTAATGAGAAGTTCAAGGCGCTTCAGGAGGAAGTGCGTACAAAGCTTGAGAAGGCTAATGAGAAGTTCAAGGCGCAAGCGGACAAGAAGAGGCGACTCAAAGTGTTCAATGAAGGAGACATAGTGATGGTGTACTTACGGAAGGAACAGATGTCGGCTAGAACATACAGCAAGTTTAAGCCCAAACGATATGGACCGTTAAAGATTCTCAAGAAGATCAATGACAATACATATGTAGTGGATCTTCCAGAAGGAATAGCTCTGTCAGGGACATTCAACATGGCGGATATTTCTGACTATTATCCTTTAATCGAGTTGTATGCAAGTGATGCGAATTCAGAGACGAGTTCTTCCGAAGAAGGAGGGACTGATATAGGAGATCAAGTAATTGGACAAGTAATTGGATGAGACGACATCTCAACTCATCCAATATCCGACGTCTCAACAATATCCGACATCTCAACTCGTCCGACATCTCAACTCAATACAAACCAAGTCATCTCAGCGGACGAGACGACATCGGAGCAGATGAAACGACATTTCAACGGACGAGACAAGATCTCAGCAGGCGAGACGAGGCGAAGCATGCAGAACGAGACGACACATGCCAGTCAACACGAAAGGCGGTACTAGTCAACACGCTTCGTGTCGACTGGAACACCAGTTGGGAATACACGTCCAGTCGACACGAAAGGCGGTAATGGTCGACTTGCCTTGTGTCGACTCGAACGATATCTGATCGGCCTCCCTGTTTCTACGTCTGCGTCATAATGGCACCAACCAATAGAATCAAACGGAAGTAGTGTCACCTGACACCACTTCTCTATAGGTAGATCCGCCCCTCAAAGGAAACATATATTGCTTCCTTATCGACCAGTCCTGGTAAGGACCTTACGAGCTTATTAATGGAAAATCATTTGATAAGCATGAGGTGAGCCTTCTGAATCATTGAATGCTTGCATTGCAAGTATTAAAGAAAGACTATAATACCAAGACACATTTCTGATATTATGTTAAATTAACTATCCAGAGTTTCTCGTCATACCAATACGATCATAATAACAAAAGGTAAAAGAAGGACATATAAAAACACAGACAAGGATGGCCACGCTATTACTGTTATTAGCAGTGCACGAAGCTGCAGGCATTAGGCTGCAGGTTTGTGGGTCAAGAACCTAAGCTATGAGCTCTTTGCTAATAAAAAATGGTATTTTTCTGAGCAAAAAAAAGTGAACGAGAATACAAGTTAGTCATCATTTTCGTGATACATCACCTCTCAAAACAGTTGCACTGAATATTGAAGCTGCATGTTACTTAGATCGGAAAGCGAGTTAAGAAAACTTTGAAAATCTCCATCCTCTGTGTGTGAATCTACTAACATAGACAAAGCAGATGCCTCAAGAGGAAACTTTAGCTCTTGCATCTTACACAGGAACTCCTTGGCTTTCTTTACATCACCTTTCTCGAGCAAACTTTGAACAGCCACATTAAGCATATAAGAATCTGACGAGCAACCATATTTTTCCATCGACAGAGACAAATCATCAACTTCGTCCAACCAACCTTCTTTAATAAGGCCTTTCATCATAATCGTACATGTCATCACGGTCGGAACCAATTTCTTAGAGAGCATATCATTTAATAGATCCTTGGCCGCTTGAATTCTCCCCATCCTACTCATCTCATTGACCATGATGTTGAAGGTCCTAGCATCAGTTGTATACTTCTGATTTAGAATTCTTCGAAATAGATCTGTTGCTTCACAATGCACCTGTTTTTGCATGGTCCATACAAGATTACATGGTATGTAATAATATCTACAATCACGTTGTCATGAATCATCTTATTATGCAATTTTCTTGCGTCGCTAACTTTTCCAGCTCGATATAGCCCTGTAAGCGTGGTGTTGTAGACAACATTGGTCTGCTTCAGTCCCATTCTAGGCATCTCCTCAAAGGACCTTAAAGCATTGGATTTACAATAAGAGTTGATAAGAATTGAATAAGTGAATACATTTGGTTTATGACCCTCTGCAAGCATGAGATCGAAAACTTTCAATCCTTCATCCGTTTTACCTATTAGACAATATGCATCCATAAGAATATTGTAAGCAATCGTGTCAGGCTTTGCACCGCTATTAATCATAACACCCAAAAAATTATGCGCTTCTGCAACCTTTCCTTCCTTACATATAGCATCAATCATTGCGATGTAGGTCACAACATTTTGATGGAATCCTCGATCACTCATTTCAAAAAGTAACCTCAATGTGTCCTCCCATCTCCCAAGTCTGCAGAATCCACTCACTAAAGAGTTACATGTAAAGATGTCCGGATTGAACCCTTTTTCGACCATTTCATTGAGTATACTCTCCGCATCTTCCATTCTTCCAGCCTTACAAAGTCCATCCAACAGAATGTTATATGAAAAAATATTAGGCTGCATCCCAACCTGTTGCATTTTTCTGACTAAGTGCATAGCGTCATTGAATATGTTGTTCTTGTTACATCAATCAATCACAACATTGTAAGTGAAAAGATTGAACGTCAAACCCTCCTTTTGCTTGGAGTTTAGGATTCTTGATACCTCATCGAAGCGCCCTTCTTTGCAATAGCCATTTAACAAAATGGTATAGAAAACTATGTCGGGTTTTCACACCACTTTCAGTCACAGCCTTTAGCAATTTATGTGCTTCACTGGTATTTCCCTGTTTACAAAGGGAATCTACAAGTGTGTGGAAGGTCGTAACATGCGGGCAAAGACCACAGTCGACCATCTCTTTAAAGACTCTCATGGCTTCTTCCCAGTGGCCTCGAACGGAATGGTCATGCATAATGCAGGGTGTAGGAGAGAATAGTGGAACAGTCCTCATCTCCCCTTGCTTGCAAAGCCCATCAACGATCGTGTTGTAGGTGACTACATCAGGCTTGACTTCTCCAAAAACTTTCATCTTCTCAAGGAACTCAATCGCTAATCTCGTATTCCCGAGGCTACACAGACCTTTAATGACAGTAGTGTACGCGACAACATCAGGCGTGCATCCCCACCGCGGCATTCTATCGAGCAGCTGGGCTGCTGCGTCTCCAATTCTATCATGCGTACACATGCTACCGATAAGGGAGCTGCAAATAAACGACATCGCCGCGCCAGCCACGTTATCCGATGAGGAACAGATCATCGTCGTTTTCAGCTGGGGTTCGTTATCCGACGCTGGCCTCTTAAATCTTTTAAAATTGTTTTTAAAATTAGGTCCCTCAAACAACGGATATTGCTGTTTAGCCCCTAGAATTGTACTGGCATTTCAAATCAGCCCCCACAGCTAGCTATTGCTTGATTCTGGAGGAGTGTATATTCAACTTAAGCTTAACTTTTTGGCGCAGTTATTCCTCGTTGTTCGAGTACGCAGATCCAAACTTGTTTCTTTAAACCCATTTACATTAGAGTCCCTAGATATGTTTAAACCCGTTTCTTCTCATTTTATGGAAATTTTAGGGGTACAATGACTGATTGAGGATAGAAATATGAATCACCGTGTGGTGCGGTTGATAAGTAACACAACCCAAGCTAGCAATTTAGAAATGATAACTAACAGAGGGTAATTTGAAATAACAAATGGGTAACAAATGAGGTTTGAGGGACAACACAGCAATTTCAATGATTTGAGGGACAAATGTTAAAATATCAAAGTTTTAATGAACCGATAGGGTAAGCTCCACCCGTTTGAGTATTATCTCATGATATAATACTCATTTTTAACTATGTATTTCATTTCAAGCTCTTACAAGTCATAATAACCCTCTCAAACTCAATTAATGTAATTATTTTTGGCATTAGACGCGGAATGATTGGGTGAACCATATTTTTCAAATCCGTGTCCTTCTGTTGGGATGCAATAGTTTATTATTATTCTAATTAAGCGAAATTAAGAAGAATATTATTCCTTTACTTTCAGTTGAATCAGTTGTAAGATATTTAACGTTTGAGACCCCCAATAAAGTGCTCATGCTTATATTCTCACACATTTTCAAACTCGTATTACCTCTCAACCAGCAACCATATCGTACCTTCTCGGAATCCCAATCGCAAGCTGCAATCACACTTTAATTATTACCAATCTCCCCTAATCCTTATTAATCCGACCTAAATGTTGTGTTTTTTTTTTTTTTTTTTTTTTTTTTTGCGTAGTAAACATGGGATGGGATTATCAGTCCCAATCCTGCTATCATTATGAAGTGAATGGTGTTAAAACAACAATGTATGTGGATTATTCAATAACTTTTTGAAGAACGATCCCGCACATTATTTATACTTTGGCGAAAAACCAGTAATAAAAAGAATGAAGCATTAGCCCTTGATTGTACTAACTTCTGCAAACATACACAAGCAAATATTAAATTGAAATTGTTGTGCACAATGGAAATTTCGGCAGCACCACTGGTGCACAACAAGAGAGTAAGTCTCAACTAAATCCCTGTTTCACAAAGTAAACAAGAGCCGAAAGCAAAATATCTCAACAAAGTGAGATATCAGCTCTTCTTCTCATCAGTTCTAGGACTGACTTGTCGAGGGAACCTAAACTCTCTATTACAAATCACAGCACGAACAATCAATCTTAACGTGGTTCGGTAAATTGCCTACGTCCACAAAGCAAGGAGGGGAGATCTACTATTAGAGGAAAAAAGAATACAAATAGGGTTTACAATCACACAGCTCTCACAAATTAAACCCTCAAAATAGGCTTCCTGCTTTTCTTCTCAAAAAGGTCAGCCTCCAAAAAAACTTTTTCTCTCTGTGATTTTTCTTTTCTTCTGCCTGCACTTTTTCACCAAGTACAGCCGCCGAAAATTTCCCATGCTCACTCTTGCACGCACCCTAGGCGAAACTAGGGTCCCTATTTATAGCTGCAAAGTGGGATACGGGTGGGCAATGGGCATTCGGGTGGGCCAACAATTGATCACGTGAACGTGATCTCTTCACGCGGAACTCGAAAACTACAGGTCCTCTCCCACGAACAAATTTGTGGCCCCCACTTGACGCTATCACGAGATAGCCTTCTGCTCCCTTCTATCTCTTCACTTGTGAAGGTGGACCCCACTCACAATTCTCCACCTCGGCGAAATTTTTCCAAAACTGAGCCGATACCAACCAAACCAAATATCTCACTTGTTACGTCCAGTACGAAGTGAAACAATTCACTATAATAGACTCAATACACAACAAGTCGAGACTCAAATGAGAATGCGAACACTCTCCAAATGTCGGTATCAACTCACCAAATCGACTGCATCATAAAATGACTGCATACGTATCCTCTTGCCTAAGGAATTAAGCCCCACGTAGTTCACCCAATGGCCTCCAAAGGCCCTCAATCCAATAGAAGAGTTCGCAACCCTCCTCCAATATCATCAAATCTGTGGCTGATAGCACCTCCAATGGCCTCAAAGTGTAACGAATCAAACACCTCCACCTGAGGTGAACCAATGGTGGCTGATAGCACCTCCAATGGCCTCAAAGTGTAACGAATCAAACACCTCCACCTGAGGTGAACCAATGGTCATATCCAAACTACATCTATCACTCAAAGTGTAACGAATCAAACACCTCCACCTGAGGTGAACCAATGGTCATATCCAAACTACATCTATCAGCTGGACTCGAATCAAAACCCAACTCATCATATGCATCCAAAACTAATTGATTCCCAAGCTGTATCACCTCAGCTGGAATCCCAAACAATGCAGTATGATCTGGAGTATGTGGAGTAATCTCCACCCAATGTGAAGTAGCATCACTCTCCACCTGCTGCGATACCCCTATGATCTGTCTAAAACTCTCCACCTGCTGAGAATCAATAGGCTCCCTCATCCAAGCCTCATCTAATGTGACATTACCAGACCAAATATCCAATTGACTTTTATCTCCAATCACAGCAGTTAACAACTCTTTAATAGCATGACACAAATATGTCGAAACCTCAGTCCAGAAACTCTTCTGCAGACCATTGCATGACAATAAACACTGATCCTCCTCCAGCAAGGCACGGTTCTCAAAATTTACCACCCTATCTAGTTTTCCCAAGATTTCCTTTCCAACGAAGTGTCTCGAAATGCCGTGAGCTCGGCTGCAAAACAGAAACAGGTCTATCTTGTACCTCCTACCAAAACCTGAATGAAATACCTTCATCTTTCTGCCAATCTCACATTTTTTTAATCTGTTGGAGACTACTAGGACTTTATCCAAAGGGGATTTGGTTGCAACCCAAACACGCCTAGAACAATCACCAACAAAGGTAACCAAACATCTATTTCCTCTTAATGATGCCTCCTTGGAAGGTCCTCAAACATCCACGTGAACGCCCATCTGAAAGACCCTTCGTGCGGTGAATAGAGGTGTCAAACTTCACCTCGGTCTTCTTGCTCACATCAAAGTGTTCACTAGATTTCAAATTACAGGTCAATGCACCCATCTCCAAATTAATACTGGAATGACTAAGCCCCAAATATCGCAGTTTAATCGAATCAACAGAAGTCGTCAGCTCTCCACCTGTCACTGTATCTCCAATCAAATAGTACATGTTATTCCTCCTGATGCCCTTCTTCACAATCAAAAAGTCTTCCACGATCTTGAGAACCATGTCCTCAACACGAACCTTCAGACCCTCTCCAACCAAAGCTCCAATTGAGATCAAGTTCTTCCTCAATGAAGGAACATATCTCACATCATATAACTCTCTAACAGTCTCGTCAAACATCTTGATGCAAATTCTTCTTATCCTAAGGATCTGGCATGCACAGTTGTCTCCCATGAACACACCACTATCTAGTTTCTCAAAACTGAAGAATCATTCCTTTCTAGAACACACATGATAGGTCGCACCACTATCCAACGTCCACTCAGATTCCCCCGAATAGCTACATGTAGGAATGATAGAAAGCGAACAAATAGAAATATCAAAAATATTACCATCCGATATAACGATGTTTTCTTCTGATGATGGTTGCTTCTCTTTTCCCTTCTGCTTATTCTTCATCCATTCGTCGAGCTTTGAACAATCTTTCTTTCAATGATCAGTCTCATTGCACCAAGCACACTGATCTTTTTCAACTGTAGGATGCCCTACTCTAGACTGTGACTTACAATTCTTTCGGTTTGGATTCTTCCCTCTTGTGAACAATGCCTCCTCTACCGGCTCAGCTGAAGTCTCCTTATCCTTCTTTCGAAGCTGATAGTTCACAAGTGCAGCGGTGACCTCACTATACCAAAGGGATGTCTTCCCATTAATTAGGGTAAGAACAAAGGTCTCGTATTCCTCATCCGGCAAGGAATTCAACAACAGCAACGCCTTGTCCTCATCTTCAATCATAACATTCACATTCGCCAAATCCGCAAGAAGCTTCGTGTAGTGGTTCATATGATCACTAATGGGGGTTCCCTTCTTTAATTGGAAGCGATAAAATCTCCTCTTCAAATGCAAGCGATTTTCCACACTCCTGGTCAAATACTTTCTCTCAAGAGTCTCCCAAATCTTCTTTGCAGAAGTCTCATTCATCACATCATACTTCAAATCTTGTGTTAAACAAGACCTAATAACACCACACGTCATCTGATTCATCTTCCTCCAAACATTCTTTTTAATATCATCTGATTTGCCATCCAACTCCAAAGTGTCTTCCAAATTTTGCGCGTTCAGCGCATCCAAAACTTCGCATCACCAAAGTCCAAAGTTGTTCGTGTCATTAAACTTCTCCACGTCTATCTTCGTGAATGGTCTTCACACCAGAAGCACTACCCTCAACACCTTCTTTCCCGGCCATATTCCTCAACATACCAACAACCAATATGGAACAAGCTGAAGAATAGATCCAAACTTGAGAAAGATGGAGCATTTACCAAAAAGATCTCACATTTATCACCAAACTAAGCCCTAGACTAACTTCTAAAGCGATCTACTTCTCCAAATAGCCCAAGCGTAGCCCGAGCTCTGATACCACTTGTTATGCGCAGCGAAAATTTTGGTAGCACCTCTGGTACACGACAAGAGAGTAAGTCTCAACTAAATCCATGTTTCACAAAGGAAATAAGAACTGAAAGTAAAATATCTCAACAAAGTAAGATATCAGCTCTTCCTCTCATTAGTTCTAGGACTGACTTGTCGAGGGAACTTAAACTCTCTATTACAAATCACGGTACGAACAATCAATTTTAACGTAATTCGGCAAATTGCCTACGTCCACGGGGCAAGGAGGAGAAATCTACTATTAGTCTACTATTAGAGGGAAAAAGAATACAAATAGGGTTTACAATCACACAGCTCTCACAAATTAAACCATCAAAATAGGCTCCCTGC